GAGTATAGTGGCGCCATCTCTGCTCACTGCAACTTCCACCTCCCAAATTTAAGTAATTCTCCTGCCTCAGCCTCCTGAGTAGCTGGGACCACAGGTGCACACCACCATGCCTGGGTACTTTTTTTTTTCCCCCGGGAGAGATAGGGTTGCACTATGTTGGCCAGGCTGGTCTCAAATTCCTGACTTCAGGTGATCCACCTCCCGTAGCCTCCCAAAGTGCTGGGATTACAGGCGTGAGCCACTGTGCCTGGGCGATCTTTGGTTTTTATTACAGCAACTTACTGATCAAGTGTTGCAGGCTGTGACATTGTTGAAAGGAATAGAGTGCAATCTGGTGTTTGAAATGATCAACTACCTTGTGCTAATAGTTCCTGCAATGCCATCTGAGTTTACCATGACATCCCCAGGGCACCTGGGCACTCAGTTTGGGAACTACAGCATTGTCTAACCTTGCTTCATCCTTTTCTTCTACACTGGGAGCGTGATACAGGATTTCTGCTGGAAGTAGATACAAAAGTAGGACATCCAGTTTGATTATGTAGCCTTCGGCCGGGCGCGGTGGCTCAAGCCTGTAATCCCAGCACTCTGGGAGGCCGAGACGGGCGGATCACGAGGTCAGGAGATCGAGACCATCCTGGTTAATACGGTGAAACCCCGTCTCTACTAAAATATACAAAAAACTAGCCGGGCGAGGTGGCGGGCGCCTGTAGTCCCAGCTACTCGGGAGGCTGAGGCAGGAGAATGGTGTAAACCCGGGAGTCAGAGCTTGCAGTGAGCTGAGATCCGGCCACTGCACTCCAGCCTGGGCAACAGAGCGAGACTCCATCTCAAAAAAAAAAAAAAAGATTATATAGCCTTCTTTGGATTGGAAACAATATGCGAAATTTTTTTCCTTTCCGTTGACCTTCAGCTAACTCTTAACATAGTCAATGGTGGCTCCTGCTTTTTGGCCACAGGTCAGTATGACAGTGGAGAGGGAGCAGCATTTTTTAATATTTTCAACGGAAAACTTTGAAGATGTTCTCTCCTGTTAACTATGCCAGGCGTGCCTTCTCTTGCCGATGCCTGCCTCACCCCCACCACAGAAGAGCACACACTCTTCCTCCCCCTCTGGTCTCATTCTCTGTCCCTTCTTCAGAGATGCCGCCTGTCCCGTGGGTCAGTGCAAATTCCTCTCCTCATCCATGGCCAGAGCAAATTCCTGGCCTCGTCCATGGCCAGAGCAGCCCTACCCTTCTCCTCCACGGTATTCACCCCACGTATTGCCTAATCACTTGGGAGAATGCCATGTCAACCACTGAGTGCTAGGGCAGGGCATGTTAGGACCTGTTGCCTGAGTGAGTGACTGTGTCTGGTGGTCTCCACTTACCCATGTGAGAGCATGAACTGTTTTCCTTTTCCAGAGCTTTGAGATTGAGCTGGAAGCCCTAGGATGACAATCTGGGTGTGGTCACTGAGGGAGTACACCTCCTGTGTGCTGGGAAGACAAAAGTGAAATAAAGATGAGCCTGCCTTCAGTTCCCAGGGGTGCCCACTATGGGCTGACCGTGGAACTCACTAGATGGAGATTAGGGAAGCACCAGATGCTGTGGGCCAGAGAGGGAGAGAGAGCACGCACCTTTGAGCCTCTGTCTGCGTCCCTCCATCTGTCTGGCAGTAGGGCTAGCAGATCAAAGGCTGAAGGTGACAGGGGTGGCTGACTTGTTGTTGGAGCCTAGATGCTAGGGGTCTGGGGCAGTGGGGGGTGGGGGGGAACCGCTGTGGGAAGAATTCGCCCAAGGAGGCTTACCTTATCAAATCTGGGCCTTAGAAAAGTCGTCTGGCTCTCACATAGGAGTTCTCACTGTACCTCTCTTTCTTGAAGTGGTTGGTTTTCCTCATGTTTCTTGTCATTGCCGTAAGAGTGGGCTCTTGAAGTTTCCCAAGCGTCTTATTTTCCTGTGGTCATGGGAAAGCTGTGGGCATAGCAGTAGGTCAGTATGGTCCCTTGAAGTGCAGGTGCTGCACAGGCCCAGAGTGGTTGCAGGAGTCTCAGGCATCTTATGGTGATCCCCCTTATGGGGCCATGGGTGTCACTTTCTTTTCTTTCTTTTTCTTTTTTTGAGACGGAGTTTCACTCTTGTTGCCCAGGCCTGGAGTACAGTGGCACAATCTTGGCTCACTGCAGTTTCCGCCTCCCAGGTTCAAGCAATTGTCCGGCCTCGGCCTCTGGAGTAGTTGGGATTACAGGTGCCCGTCACCATGCCCAGCTAATTTTTTGTATTTTTAGTAGAGATGGGGGTTTCATCATGTTGGCCAGGCTTGTCTCCAACTTCTGACCTCAGGTGATCCACCCTTCTCGGCCTCCCGAAGTGCTGGGATTAAGGTGTGAGCCACCACGCCCGGCCAGATGTCACTTTCATTTGTTATCTTCAGAACTTCCTTAAAGAAACTTTGGGGTACTGGTAGCTCCCAGGTTTGTCTCGTGTCGAACATGTCATAGCTTTACATTCGAACAGACAACCTCCAGCAGTTTCTTTCCTCAGGGACCTGGGCGTGTGTTAAGGATGGCGGCCACTGTGTCACGACCGTCTGTGTTTGACACTTCCGGTGTGTGTGTGCAGCACACTAGTGAGGATTTCCTTAGTTCAGAGGCAAACTTAAACTACCCAGGAATCAGATGCCAGGTTTTGGGCCACTCTATCTGCTTAGACCTGGTCTTCCCACTCCTGGGTCACGTACTTCTCTCTGCCTTGGTGTCCCTATCTGTAAAGTGGGGATGAGGCCAGAAGCAGTGTTACATTTTTGAGGATTTAACTGTTACTGTGCATCACTTGTGAGCTGGCTAGGGAAGGGTATTTTGGCTTTTGCAGTGACTTAAAACACCAAATGAGGCAAGGTTCAAGAGTCAGGTTTTCTGTAGAAAACCGTTTTTTCTTGTGAGCAGAAAATTCAGCTTCTGGCCGGGCGTGGTGGTTCACGCCTGCAACCCCAGCAATTTGGGAGGCCGAGGTGGGCGGATCACCTGAGGTCAGGAGTTTGAGACCAGCCTGGCCAACATGGTGAAACCCATCTCTACTAAAAGTACAAATATTAGCCAGCCATGGTGGCACACGCCTGTAATCCCAGCTACTGGGGAGGCTGAGGTGGGAGAATCATTTGACCCCGGAAGGCAGAGGTTGCAGTGAGCCAAGATTGTATCACTGCACTGCCTGGGCAACAGACCCTGTTTCAAAAAAAAAAAAAGAAAATTCAGCTTTCTTGGGTCAAGGGCCTGTCTAAGCCTGGTGAGAAGGTGAAGAAGAGTGGTCACTGGCCCAGAGCACACATGAGTTTTCATCCCTTGGCTTTGCTGTAAGTCTTTTTGGAAAGAGACAAGCATGGCCCAGCCCAGAAGTTCTAGAAGTCCTTGGCCTCATCTTGCCTCAGGGGCATTGCTTCAAGATTTCCAGAACGTCATTACTTAATGGAAAATTTATGGGGGCTGCTTCCTTTTGAGACAGCTTGGCTCTGCCCCCTGGCGGCCTGTGTCCTTGTGGCTGGGCTGCTCCCGTCCCTGCCTGCCATCACTCACCTGGCGTGTGCTTGGTGTGCAGCATCAGCTGTGTGTTTCTGGAGCTGCTTTCTAGGAGAAATCTAATTGTAGAAACCAAACTGCATGGCATTCCTTGGCCTCACTCTGTGTACCCTCCATCCCGGGATCCAGGCTTCCCCAGTGCCTTTAGGCCTCCCCTCCCCTTGGCCCCATCACACTTGTCCCCTTCAGTCACTTTGGACTTGCTGGTCCTGCTGCATGGAAGCCCTCTCCAGCTGACTCCACATGTGAGTGGGATTTAAACCCCACTGACGTGTTTCCTTGTCTGTGATGCTGTCCTTCTACCAATACTTGTGTCCAGTCACTTGGTGTGTCCTGTAATCTTTCTGTGCCTGGACCAAGACTGGTACACTGGACCCAAGGTTCCCAGCAAGCTGGTATGTGGCTGGTGTCATTTGTCCCTGTGTCTTCTCCTATCTCACTGGCCGCCTATCTCCACAGCCTAGTCCACGGAATTGCTTTGTAGCAAATTCTCCGTTTGGCACTTTTAAAATAGGATTATTTGCCAGAACTGCATTTACAAAAAAAGCTTGTGTAATCGTGGTTTAAGTAAATTACACAAAGTAATTCACTGGCAGCTCGGGTGCCTAGTGTGTGCTAGGCATAAAGCTGCTTCTGCACCCACTAAAAGTTCATTCCAGAATGATATCTCCATTGAGTTCTTAAGTTTATTACTAGAGATGCTTGTTAGATGCAGTCAGCCCCGAGCTTTCAAAGTTTTTTCTTACTACTGGAAGTGAGTTTAAAAAGCCGACCATATATATATACTTTTTGCCAGTAGAAAAGTTTCGCAAAAAGGATGCAAATGGCCAGTATACATCTGAGCAAGTGCCTTTTCTCGTGAATCATCAGTGTGGAAACTCAGTCACTGCAAGGGGTGGGTTGTGTTTCCAGAGGGCAATTTGGCAGTAAAAACATGCATACTGTTGACCTGCAGCTATCTTGGGGTTTGTCCCACTGGAAAAACTGGACAGGTGTTCAGAACCACCCTTGTGAGGATGCTTGTGGCAGGGTTTGCAAAGTTGGGGTGGCCCTCAGCAGGAGTTGCTCAGGTGAGGGGAGGTACCAGAGCAGGTGTTCAGACAGGCACTGACAGCAGGGACCTGTGTTGCCACTGGGGGCGTGCCTTACAGTTAAGAAAAATGGTAGGTCTCGGCTGGGCACGGTGGCTCACACCTGTAATCTCAACACTTTGGGAGCCCAAGGTGGGTGGATCACGAGGTCAGGAGTTCGAGACCAGCCTGGGCCAAGATTGTGAAACCCCGTCTCTACTAAAAATACAAAAATTAGCCGGGCACGGTGGTGACCACTTATAATCCCAGCTACTCGGGAGGCTGAGGCAGGAGAATTGTTTGAACCAGGGAGGCGGAGGTTTCAGTGAGCCAAGATCCCACCACTGCACTCTAGCCTGGGCAACAAGAGCAAGACTCTGTCTCAAAAAAAAAAAAAGAAGAAAATGATAGGTCTAGTATGGATTCATTTTTGTTTTATCAGCAGTAAACATGCAGATTTTTTCCTCAGCAAACCTGTATTATTTAGGTTACCAAGAAAATATTCTTAGTAAGTTTATGGCTTTGCCCTGAGCACTTGGCAGTGGACTGGGTGAACCATCCATGGGTGGGCGGACCTGGCCTTCCTGCTTCTCCTTGCCTGGCCCACCAAATGGAATTACTGACTTAGCTCGATGCTTCATGTGTGACAAGTGCAAACAATTTTAATGTAAATGTCGTATGTGGGAGCCTGCAAATCATCCTCTTCCACACACAGGCAGCATCTCCTACAAGCTCACAGATGGGAAAAGGGATGTGCAGGTTTGTGAGACGTGGCTTCATTGTATCTCCTTCCCCATGATCTTCATAGTTCCCAGAGCCCCTGCTGGTTCCTAGTGGGCTCTCACCACCTCACTCTGCCTCCTCTGTTGGTATGTGGTCTCCTCCCTGCTGGAGGGTAAGTCTTTGGGGAGAGGAGATATTGGAACCCTTTCAGTCAAAGCATGGGGTGGCCCCTCTGGCCAACCTGGCCAGCTGCTGCCAGGGGAGCTCAGTCCTTGGAGACCACAGCCAGAAGGACTTGTCATTCTGAGCAGTGCCCATCTGCTAACTGATTTCTCACGAGGACTCTTCTCTTCCTTTGTAGAGTGCCTGGTGAAGAATGTGATGGGATCACTAGCATGTCTGCGGAGAGCGGCCCTGGGACGAGATTGAGAAATCTGCCAGTAATGGGGGATGGACTAGAAACTTCCCAAATGTCTACAACGCAGGCCCAGGCCCAACCTCAGCCAGCCAACGCAGCCAGCACCAACCCCCCGCCCCCAGAGACCTCCAACCCTAACAAGCCCAAGAGGCAGACCAACCAACTGCAATACCTGCTCAGAGTGGTGCTCAAGACACTATGGAAACACCAGTTTGCGTGGCCTTTCCAGCAGCCTGTGGATGCCGTCAAGCTGAACCTCCCTGTGAGTAGTGTGGGCAGGTCCCAGGGCTGCCGTCGTCAAGGTCTCCTCCTGCATGTCTCCTGGTCAGGACAGATCCTGGGGGAGGGTAGGAGATGCATTTGGAGTCGTGGTGAGAGCTTCACGGCCCTTGAGTGAGTGGTTTCAGCAGTTCTAATCAGTTGAAATCGGGGAGAAAGAACAAGTTAATTGGCTTAACAATAACTGGTTTCTTAGATATTGGAATCCTGGGGAAAATTGTGTAGAGGTTGAAGCAGTGGGAGAAAGGAAGGCCTACATATCTACTTGCAGTTCCATGGTGAGTTGAAGTCAGAGCACTTGGCCATCCTGGCCCCTTCCTTTCTCTGGTGTGTACGTAGTTGATCAAGGATAAGTAGACGTAGTTGATCAGACTATGCTAGAGGGGGATTGGCTTGCCGCAATAGCAGTCACCTAGCATCATCGTCACTGTCACCCAGAGCACACAGTGGGGAAAAGTAGTGGATTACCTCCCAGGGAGCGCAAGTACATGAAGGTGACCCCAGCTGGAGAAAGGTGGCTGTGGCTGCAGCTGCACAGGCGGTGTTGCCCTCCCTCCCTCTGACTGCAGCACACTTGCTTTTGTGCCTTTTGTGAGCCCACCCCTCTTCTCTTTCCCTAGAGAGTTTTCCATTTGCCCATATCCCTAGCAAACTGTTCTGCAAGCACAACTTGTATCTCCAACTGAACCTCAGGGAGCAGATGGAAGAAATGCTTTAGTTTTTCTTCTTTTCTTTAAAGCACCAAGGACTAATTGTCTTTAAATTGTCCTTTACTGTTTGCTAAGTCCCGTACACCCCCTGGAAAGTGTATTAGGTGGTTGCAGCCACTGACCCAGGCTGGTGTGTGCACTCTAGAGCTACTCATGTATAGGAGCGGCCTTAGTCTCTGCCAGGCATCTGGACTCCCAAGTTTAAAGCCATTGTGTCTGTAAGAACTGTCTGGTGCTATTGGTTCACTGAATACGTGTCGTGCACTCGGGGGAAGATAATCAGAAGAGGGCAGTATGTGTCTGGGTCTTGAGCTGGCTCAGGAAAGGTATGGAGGCAAAAGAGGGGCCCCACTCTCTATTGACCAAGATAAGGAGTGGAGGCAGTCAGCTGTGTTGGCCTGCGGGAGGGAGACTGTTGAGGGAGCTCACTGCACCAGTCTCTAGCTGAGCTGGGCAGGGTCCATAATAGAGAGTGACATTCTCAGAGCAGATGCACAGAACCAGGAGAGAAGGAGCTGGGGGCTAGAGTGGAACCCAGAGCGCTGTGAGGCCCTTAGGGGTTGGGGGGAAGGCAGAAGGCTTACAGAAGAGAGCATTTCCCCAGATTCCAACATCAGAAGCTACAGGGAAGTCAAAGAGATGAGGATTCCGACCTGACCATCCTATTGACCTTTAGGAGGGCATTGGTGACCTTAGGAAGACGTGATACAGAAGTAGAAACCAGATTTGCGACGGTGTGAATGCGAAGGTGAGGATGTGAAGCCACCATTTCAAGAAGCTTGGCTTTGAAGGGAGACGCATCAGTGCCAGAATAGCAGAGGGGTCAGCTTGTTACAAGAAGACACAATGGGAACTGAAGCAGGGAGGGCTGAGAAGGTGAAGACAGGAGAAGGAAGGGCTGGGGGACTTGAGATTGCCAGGAAGCAGCAGCATCCCAGGTGAGGCTGAGGGAACAGTGCTGACCAGCGGGACAGACAGGTATGGGTGGTTGGTTAGGCCATGGGGTTTGGGAGTTCAAGGTCAGTCTCTGAAGTGCAGGCCGGAGAGTGGCCAGGACATTCTTGCTCTGGGCAGAGTGTGAAGCTACCTGTCCCTATGACTGTTGACGTTGCCCTCATTAGCTCTGACATAAGAGGAAGGGACTGATCCCTGGTGGCCCTGATCTGATGTCTTCAGAGATGGAAGAGTGAGGAGCAGAGGAGGGAGCTTGCTGGATGAGAGTGGTCTCAGGGTGTTTGGTGGGGGCTGAGCCAAAGGGGATGCTTGATCAGGAGCATCGTCATGCTAAAGCTGTTTTCCGGGGACTTCCTTCTTCAGGAGATGTTAACGCCACCCCAAAAAGTATTCCTTGTCTGTTTTCTGATGCCTTCTAGGTCTTCACCCGCATTTTGATCTCCTGTCATGCCCTTAAACCTTACTATCCAGGCTGGCAGTTCCTCTTCCCCACCGTTCTCTCTGTCTTCACCCCAGTTCCTCTTCACTGTTCTGTTTGCCCTTGAGCCATGTGACACACTGTGGCCAATTCAGTGACCTTTGGCCGTAGAATAAAATCTAAATGTCCACTGTGATAGATCTATTCAGACTTGGTTCTCTTGGTGAAGGAGGTCAGAGCATAGACAGTGGTGTCGATAGTCTGCTTCCAGTCTCCTCTCTTGACCACTTGCCTAAGGTACCCAGGCGTACACTTGTAGCCCCCACCCCCAGGGCAGTTCCATGACCTGTGCCAAACCCTTACATGTAAGCAGGTCGCCCTTGTCTCTTTCTGGTGGATGTCAGAACATCTCAAAACCCCACACTCATCCCCTGTGCTGGCCTTTCCAACACTGTCCACTACCATTCCCGAGCAGGGCCTCAGTGCTTGCTGTTAGCATACTTGCTCTCTCCTCCCTGCAACAGCCTCTCCATCTGCAGCCTGTGCCTCTACCTTGGGACTCCACTTGGATTTGGTTCTGATACGCCATTCAAACTTAATTACGGGAGCACCTCTCCCCAGTCAGGGTGATGGCTCAGAAAGTTTGGCTCTCAGTGGGTCAGGCCAACAGCCTGAGCTGGTCTAGTCATCAGGGGCTTGCTGTCTGGGTGCAGCCCCCTGCCTGGCCCTCTGTGATTCTTGCACTTGGAAACTCAGGTACTGCTTGATCTGTCCCCACATTCCTTCTGTGGTTGTTTTTAAAAATGAACTTAGTTTTAGAATAGGTTTAGATTTAGAGAAAAAGTTGTGAGAATGATGCAGTTTGATTTCAGGGACTTTAAGACATTTACATCTGTTATCTGGCTCCTTCTGTTTGGCACCTAAAGAGAGTAAGATCTGAAGGTTTGAGGGTTGGGATGGCCAATTTTTTTTTTTTTTTTTTTTAACTAAGGATCGTAAAGGCTGTCCAGATTTGTCATTTGGCAGTTAACGTGGTCGTTCAACTGTATCTGGATACTAAAGAATCCTTAGTGGTAGACTGTGTGCAAGTGAAAGAAACATAAGTCCGGTGAACTTGACTAAGGGTGGAAGCTTATGCTCCACAGCTCTTCATGGTGACAAGGAGGCAGGAGTGCCAGGGCCAAGGGTTAAGAGTGGACTCCAGCATTGGCGCCAGGGAAATTTGCATTTTATGGACATGTAAAATTTCAAATGGTGGGGACAAGTAGGACCTGCCATGGATTCTCTTACTAGGTGAGGATTGCTTTTTAAAAGGCTCCCTGGTTTCCCCCTTATTTATTAAAAGTGAAAGAATATTTTAGCATCTATAAAAAGAAAAAATGTGCATTTCAATAAAGGCAACCTGTTCCAAGATAGAGCAGTTGGAAACGTGTATGTTTCCCTCTGGATTACTCTCCAGCATTCAGGAACCCTTCCCCACTCCACTCCACTTTATTTTGGTGTTCCCCCTCGAGATCACTTGCTGATACCAGTAGGAGCTGTGGTTCCCGTGGATTCACCTGTGGAGCAGCCAAGGGTGAGGTCCCCAGGCCAGCCTGGCCAGCCCAGCATTTGTGCTGCCTGGCTGCCTAGGTGACACTGGACTTCTGCTCTCTGCTTTCCAGGATTACTATAAGATCATTAAAACGCCTATGGATATGGGAACAATAAAGAAGCGCTTGGAAAACAACTATTACTGGAATGCTCAGGAATGTATCCAGGACTTCAACACTATGTTTACAAATTGTTACATCTACAACAAGGTGAGATATGGGGGTGGGTGTCCAGCTGCCCTGGGGAGAGTGGAGGAGAGGCGACGGCAGTGGGCATGTCAGGAGCCCGTGGGCAGGGGTGTTGGGTGTGGCTGGGCTTCGAGTCTGGCAAGAGGAGACCCTTGGAGGTAGAGGTAATGAGACCTGTGGTTGTGCCTGTGGCTGGGTATGGGCTTTTTTGCTGGGAGGAGGGTGCTGGCCATGTTGAACTTGCAAGCCGTCCTTGTTAGCCTGAAGCATGTGCTTCTGGTGCCCTTGGGATTTTGGTTCCTGAGCATGTCTAGTAGAGAAGGCGTGAGGAGAATAGTGGCGACTCATGACAAAGTCCATTTGGGTGATGTAAATTGTTAGGAAAGAGCCTGCTAAAATGTAGTTGTGCAGAGGTGTGCCCAAACAGACCTCCACGTGAGAGAGGGTGTGATGGGGCCGGCGCAGAGCTCAGTTGCTCTGTGGGTGATGGTCTGCTGGAACTGTGGACATGACTGTCGATAACTCTTGGCCATAGATGAAGTGTCCCCCCGATCCTACATGTAGACCTGAAGGTCACTTCCTAACCCCGTAGCCAAACCTTTCGGCTCGGCTGTGCCATGAAGCCAGATCATTTGTTTACAGTTCAGACCACAGATGTGATTAAAATCAACCCTTTCAAATAGAACGACTCTGGAGGGAGACACTATACAGAACTCAGCTTTTGACCTCTGCTGGTGTAGTGGGTAAAAATGCCCAGAAGAGATGGGTAGGTGAGTTTCTTGAAGTTTACTGTGTTTTTTAAAGTCTCAGCTCTCACCACTTAGGTTTGAGCAAAATGTGCAGACCAGGCTCTCAGTTTAGAACTGAGTGGGAACAGCATGTTATAGATGAGGTGACAGAGTGGGACCCCTAAACTAGTGTGAGATGTGCAGTGCCCAGAGTCCTGGTAAGCTGCCATGGGGGTACATTGGGGAGCATTGCTGGGGCCCTGCTAATGTATCATGGCAAGAAATCCTGTGTCATTCAAGTATTTCTGGTGAAACTGAATTGTGTCAAAGGAGGGCCCCTTTCAGTGATTGGCTGAGCTTGGCAGATGCTTAAGGCATTAGGATGGCTTCTCAGACAGGCCAGAGCTTAAAAGATGAGGGAGGTGTAGGTAGACAAGTGTAGGCTCAGCACACCTGTGGGAACACAAGCCTCTGTGATACCTGGTAGTGTAGCCATTGTGGCTCCTTTGGGTGCAGATCGGGGAAGGACCCGGAATACGACGCTTCATGCTTTGGGGGCAGGGGGTGGCATGGGGTGCCCTGTCTACAAAGGTGGGGAGGGGAGGGCCCTCTGACTCTACCCCTGTGTCTCCTTATCCAGCCTGGAGATGACATAGTCTTAATGGCAGAAGCTCTGGAAAAGCTCTTCTTGCAAAAAATAAATGAACTACCCACAGAAGAAACCGAGATCATGATAGTCCAGGCAAAAGGAAGAGGACGTGGGAGGAAAGAAGCAGGTAGAGTACTGAAATAGCAAGTAAATTGGCTTTCTCTCCGACCTTTGTCCCTTTTCCAAGTTCGGTGGGGGGCTGGGAGTGGCAGGAAGATGGTGACATTATATACTGCATGCCGTGTTTGGACATGTGAGATTGGGTTTGGTGTTGGATCCATCCCACAGGGTCATGTGGCCCTGTGGCCTCTTCTAAGCAGAAATAATTGGGCCCTGCCTTTTCTGAGGGTAGGTGATGGATTTACAATAAAAAGAAAGTGTAACTTTTCAAAGCACTTTGACATTTTTTGAACACTTGACCCTACCAGTATCATAGGTGGTTTTTACTTTTCCATTTTAAGGACATTAACATGACCAGAAATCATTTTAACTAACTCTCAGTTCTAAACCTTGAGGTTGGGAATTGGAATTACCTTAATGCACTGGTGTCAGAGCTATCCCTGCTTCTGATGCTCAGTCATCTGAAATGAAAGCCCTCCGCATCCATTTCTGCCTGTCACCACCCCCAACTGACACAGGGTTCCAGGGGCCAGCTGGCAGAGCTGCGCACTCCAGGAAATGACTCTGTCTAGGAAACCAGCAGCTACTGTCCACATCTTGTCCTTTGCAACTCCATGCTGCAGAAGGGTGACATTTGCAAGGTGGTCCCTGAGTGTGAGTTGTTTGCTTCTCTGAGCAGCAGCCTTTCACCTGGCTTCCCATGCTGTTCTGAAGTGGTGGCAGAAAGGGGATTGCTGCATCCCCTGCTGCACCCAAAGGTAAATAAGGAGAACTAGTCTCACATGTCACCCTGTGGCTCTTGTACATATCAGATCACATCCCTGATCCTCATGTAAGTCACATCCCTTATCCTTACATGAGGATATTGGTCCTCACTCCCTGGGACCAGGGGTTTGGGCTGCACGCTGGGCAGACAGACTTGGTGGCACCTCCTGTTCCAGTCTGGAAGAAGTCCAGCAGTTGTGCCGGGGGAATGAGAAATGGGAAACTCAGCGGAATTTCACCCTTGCTCCTTGAGATGCACAGAGAACATGGGTGTTGCTTGAGCTGGTAGATGAAGGCACTGGGTGTCTTTGTCAGTTTTCATGGCAGCCAGCATGCACACGAAGGATGTGGTGGCCCAGGTTATGCTCCCAGGCATTCGCACCCTGGGCCATCCGCTCTTGTTAGAGCTCTGACCATAATCCCTCACTTTTTGCAGCTGGTTGGGTGAGCCACGTGACCATTGTGTGTTTGGACTCCCTGCACAGCTGCTGGGAGGCAGTGCCGGAGGCAGTCATGAATGGCAACAGTCCAGCTGCCCCCTGTGGCTTGAGGAGGTGGGGGTCTGCCAGTTTCCAGAAACCTTGGCGAGGGCAACTACTGCCGGCTCCCTGCCAGAAGCTCTTACTCAGAAGGCAGTGCTTCTGGGAACAAGGGCAGCTGTGCCTGGAAGCTCTGAGTGTTTTCCCGCTCTCTGTCCCCTGTCAGCGTGTGCTTCCTGCTCCTTGAGCCTAGGCCTCCAGGCTTCATGAAGGGGTCTTTGTGCCTGAGTTGGGAGTTGCAGCCAGGATGCCCTAGGAAATGAGAAGTGCGGTTTTCTGCTGTTCTCTGAGCCCCAGGGACAGGTGGACGGGTTTGGCAGAGTGGAGTCTGGGATGTTCATCTCTCAGGCAAATGCAGCACGCAGATGTGCGCTCACTGTGTGTGGTGTGTGTCCCCACAAGGTCAACCAGCATGTGGACGTTAACATGGCCTGTAACTCCCTGTCTTATTATGATTCGTAGGGACAGCAAAACCTGGCGTTTCCACGGTACCAAACACAACTCAAGCATCAACTCCTCCGCAGACCCAGACCCCTCAGCCGAATCCTCCTCCTGTGCAGGCCACGCCTCACCCCTTCCCTGCCGTCACCCCAGACCTCATCGTCCAGACCCCTGTCATGACAGTGGTGCCTCCCCAGCCACTGCAGACACCCCCGCCGGTGCCCCCCCAGCCACAACCCCCACCCGCTCCAGCTCCCCAGCCTGTACAGAGCCACCCACCTATCATCGCAGCCACCCCACAGCCTGTGAAGGTGAGTGTCCTGGACTCTGGAGGGCTGCTGTCACCAGGGAGGAGAGCAACCCTGTCGTTGCCCATGCTTTACACAAAGCCTGTCCTGGGTCCTGGGCACTGGTGGGTGTTTCTGGGGAGATCTTGCTGTGTTGAAATTGCAGCCCAGAAGCAGCTGCCCTGCTGACTCAAAAGATCCCATAATTGTGTCACACCTCCTAGTGGGTTCCTGCCCCCCTGCCCCTCTCTAATTTAGACTGTACATATTTGCAGATGTGCCATCTAAATAGTCTCTGAATTGTGCCTCCCTTGGGCACTTGGGAAGAGGCCCTAGTGTTAGGTAGTAAGCAGCCTCCAGAGGTCCCTTGGCTTCCAAGTGAGCACACAGTTTTATGCTTTCTCCTGCCACAGGCAGGTCCTGTCCCAGCTGCAGAGCAGAGTGGTGGGACACCGTCTGCCTGTCCTTGGCCCTTTGCCTGTGCAGTTATCTTTGGGTCCATCCTGTGTGAATGTCGGGCCCCTAGACAGGGCATGGCTTTGGGGGTGACCCTGAGGGCAGCTGTGCTGGCTGCCACTTCTGACTGTGCCTGTTGGCGTCTGTGTTCTTGGCAGACAAAGAAAGGAGTGAAGAGGAAAGCAGACACCACCACCCCCACCACCATCGACCCCATTCACGAGCCACCCTCACTGCCCCCAGAGCCCAAGACCACCAAGCTGGGCCAGCGGCGGGAGAGCAGCCGGCCTGTGAAACCTCCAAAGAAGGACGTGCCCGACTCTCAGCAGCACCCAGCACCAGAGAAGAGCAGCAAGGTCTCAGAGCAGCTCAAGTGCTGCAGCGGCATCCTCAAGGAGATGTTTGCCAAGAAGCACGCCGCCTATGCCTGGCCCTTCTACAAGCCTGTGGACGTGGAGGCGCTGGGCCTGCACGACTACTGTGACATCATCAAGCACCCCATGGACATGAGCACAATCAAGGTGAGTGGGATGTGCCTGAGCGGAGGGACAAGGTGGGCAAGCTGTCCCTCCACATCAGAGCCTTCCTAGCCTTTCCAGTCCAAGAGGAGGCCTAGGCCTGGAACGGTGGCTGCGTGGGCTTTTCCTGTCAACTCGAAGAAACTGAGCGCCCCCTGCTGGCCACTGTGGGACATGCTCTGAGACCCCGTGCTTGGCCATTGTGGCTGCGGATGGCTGTGCTACCCCTTCCCCTAGTCTGAGGAAAAGCAAGACAAGCCCTCTGGCCTTGGTTGCCCGGGGCCCGGGGTACCTTGCCCACACAGTAGATGCTCCATGAGAGTTTGGGACTTGGCGGCCTTGCCAGCCTCTTTGTGGTGGGGAAGGCCTTGCTGTCTCCTCTGTGTGGGAGGCATGCTGTAAGTGCCGACATTTTCACCATAGTGTTTTGAGACCTTTTTGGTTTTAAAACTTAACTGCGTGTGTCTTCTGGGAGTGTAGTCCCAAACATGGGGCAGGCAGAGCAAGGAACAGTGCTGTGTCCGTTTGACGAGCTCCTGTACTGTGTCATCATGATGAGCTGGGCCCAGCCCTCTCCATCAGTTCTCCCCCTCAGTTCTGGCTCAGGCTCCACCTCCTGTGGGTTCTGAGTCTACCTGCCTGTGAGCCAGGCAGGTGAGCTGGGATGCTGGCAGGGCCAGTCCCAGCCCTGAGGCTGAGAACTGGGGTGATGGCCTGTCCCCCACTAGAGTCTTGACAAAACTGAGAGCCAAGAAACCAACTTGCTCCTCTAGGCAGCTCTTTCGTTCGTCTGCTGCCAGTTACTTCTCCATGGTCACTTGGGCAGACACAGCTAACAGGGACCTGTCTTGTTTTCCAGTCTAAACTGGAGGCCCGTGAGTACCGTGATGCTCAGGAGTTTGGTGCTGACGTCCGATTGATGTTCTCCAACTGCTATAAGTACAACCCTCCTGACCACGAGGTGGTGGCCATGGCCCGCAAGCTCCAGGTGAGGCTTGGGAGGGCACAGCCACCCTCAGCAGAGCGAGCTGAGGTCCTCGTGGGATCACACCTCTGTGGGCCTTGGCAGTTTTTTTTCTGTCACTTTCCTTGGGATAATGCCATGTTGCTTAAAAAAGTGCCTAAACTCAGCCTAGTGTACATATTTTAAGTTGAGATTATTCAGTTAAAGCAGAGTGGGTGTTCCACTGCAGGCCCCCTCCCCCATTGTCCACCAGCACTCATTTGCTTTTGGCTGGAAGAGCAGGTGTGTGTTGTGCATGGCCCAGTCTCTCCTACAAAACACACCTGTCTCAAGTGGTTCGGGGGTGGGGGGCACTCTTGCCAAGTAGGCGCTGTCACAGTTGTGAGCTGAGGACATCTGCACTGTGGACATCTTTCCACCAGAGCCTTAAGAGCCTTCTAGCTGCAGAGTGGTTGTTTTTCCACATGGCCATAATTCTGATGGGGGCTCCTGGGCCACTTCCTTCAAGTTCAGAGCCTGGGTGGTGCACAATGTGAAATACACGTGTGGACGGGGAGGGGAGATGACAGCATAGATGTGTAAACTATTATTTTTTTAAAAAAGGAAAAATATGTAAGTTTAAAAAACGGCTTTCTTTGGTTAATAAGATTGGGTTAAAATTTTTGGAGAATAAAGTCAATATTTAGTACTATCATCTTTTTTTGTGTGTGTGGGTGGGGGGGGCCGTCTTAATTATTGGAGACAGACAGGGTCTCCTTCTGTCACCCAGGCTGGAGTGTAGTGGCACAATCATAGCTCACGGCAGCCTCTGCCTTCTAGGCTCAAGCGATCCTCGCACCTCAGCCTCCCGAGTAGCTGGGACTACAGACTTGCACCACCGTACCCAACTAATTTTGCCTCTTTTCTTTTAAAGAGGTGGGGTTTTGCCATGTTGCACAGGCTGTTCTGGAACCCCTGGGCTTAAGTGTTCCACCTGCCTCGGACCCCCAAAGTGCTGGGATTACAGACCCATCTTCTTTTTTAAATTATTTGAAACTGTAGATAAATGACCATAAAAATTCCCAGCCTCTTCTCCCCGAGGCCATGGGTTGCTTCTGTTCTCAGGGTCAGAGCAGGCTGTGGGCGGGGCCACCTGCCATCATGAGGTGCTGGTGTGCTCATTGTAGGCCTCAGCAGGCTTCTGCACTCCTGCCTCTCACAGCCATCTGCTTCCAGGGCAGAAGTGAGGACTTGGAAAGCCTTTGGTGACCTGCAGATCTGTGCCAGGCAGAGGTCACCAGAGCCCCACTGCCTGTTTGCCTCCTAGCTGTACTAGGTCCTCGTGTTGTCCCAGACTCCCCACCATAGCACCCCATACCTGCTCCCACTGGACCTAAGGCACTGTATCTCCTGTTCTCCGTGGATCAGGGGCTGCCTTGGCTTCAGAGGACATGTGCTCAAACTCTTGAGGTAGGATAAACACTTCCCTTGTGAAGTTTGTTGGGCTCTTTCTTACTAGTATGAATGTGTCTCTTGTTATTTAAATGCATGCTCAGGCTTGGGGCTTTTTGTTTCTACTTTTTGTTAGGGTTTTTTGTTTTGAAACGGGGTCTCATTCTGCTTACTGCAGCGTCAACCTGCTGTGCTCAGTTGAGCCTCCCAAATAGCTAGAACAGTGAGCATGTGCCACCATGCCTGGCTAATTTTTGTATTTTTTGGTAGACATGGCGTCTCACTGTGTTGCCCAGGCTGGTCTCAAACTCCTGGGCTTAGGTGATCCACCCACTTCAGCCTCCCAAACTTCCAGGATTACAGACATGAGCCATGGCACCTGGCCTGTTCCTTAGTTTTATTTTCTGTGACTTGGGGAGTTGTTGCCCTCTCTTCACTTTGGTAGTGTCTGTGTGCCTTCTTCACAAATAACATTGCCCCTTCATCATTCATGTTTGCATTTCCCATCCTTGAAGGAGTTGAGGCTTTTAAATTTCTTACCTTTTTTTTTTTTTTTTTGCGATGGAGTCTCTTTCTGTCGTGCAGGCTGGAGTGCAATGACACGATCTCAGCTCACCGCAACCTCCCTCTCCTGGGTTCAAGCAGTTCTCCTGCCTCAGCCTCCTGAGTAGCTGGGATTACAGGCGCCCACCAATACACCCAGCTAATTTTTGTATTTTTAGTAGAAATGGGGTTTCACCGTATTGGTCAGGCTGGTCTTGAACTCCTGATCTCGTGATCCGCCTGCCTCAGCCTCCCAAAGTGCTGGGGTTACAGGCGTGAGCCACCATGCCCGGCCAGGCTTTTAAATTTGAATGCAGGTTTTGTTCAGTGCCGCCCAGTGGCAGTGGCGCCCTCAGATTTGTGCGTTAAGCTCCTCCATCGCTCCCTCTCTCCCACTCTCTTGAGAAGACAGGGGCACAGCTTTTGCCCACACTGCCCACGTTGATACCCATGCCCTTCATCTACCCTCACAGGAAGAACTCAGCAGAAACAGATTCTCTCCCAGCACCACAGGTGACTGTTTTGAGCTACTTTACTAAGAGAAAGAGAAGAGAAAGCACCTTCTGATGCATTCTATCCCTTTCTTCTTCATTTTTATCTCATTTTTCCTGTCCTCTCCTGCACCCTGGAGCCACCTCCTTTTCACAGATTTTCTCCAACAAAGATTTTTGGGTTTTAAGTGTTTTTTGCATTTTTCTTCTTCTGGGAAACCTGCCTGAATGTAGAGTTTACCAAGGCCACTGGGATGTCTGTCACACCACAGACCCTGCAGCAGCAGAGTTTCTTCTACACACGGGCTACAGGTGCTGGACTGGAGTAGACACAGGCCTCACTCTTAAGGGGGGCCCAGTGCAGGCAAGGGGTAGGGGTTGCTGTGGGTGGGCTGCCTCTGGCCTAGCCTGCTTTGCCTGCCCTTGGGAGGGGTACCTCTCTGCCAGTGCTTGGCGGAGGTGTTTCTCTTTGAGCAGCAGAGTTGATGTGGAGGGTTCCAGGGCAGGCTTCTCTTCAGTGGGCAGTTGTGTTTGTGGCATTTCAGCCTTTGTTTTTCTTACTTCTCTCTACTTTCTCTGCATCAACATGGGGTAGAGAGCAAATTCTCCATCAGGGAAGGGGAGGGACAAAGCCCCAGCCCTTGCTCACCTATTCAAGACCTGTTGGGACCTGCTTAATTAGGTCTCTTAATTTGGCTGGGCCCAAGAAGTGGAATTTATCTGGAAAGTTACTTGGAAAAGGAGCCACTTTATTTTTCTCTCTCAGCCTCTAAATTCTGAGGTCCTTGAGAAAACCTGTGTTCCACAGCCTGACAGCCAAGATACTTGTCTGAAACCAGTGGGGTGTGCTGAAACTGAGAAGCATGACCTCAGAGCCAGACCTCCAGAGGAGTAGGGTGTAGGTTATGGGATGCCGGGCAGGGGGCTGGGCCTCAGCTGGGTCTCTGTCAGTCCAACAGAATGCTTGCACTCAGTGTTCCATGGTGGATGCCGGTGCCTGCTACCCCTCACCATCACCCTCCCTTGTGAAAGGCTTGCCCTGGGTGTATCTTGAATCAGGTTTTACTGTCCTTTCGCTGGCCCCACAGCACCCCTGACTGTGTTCTTTCACTCTTAGGTCTTAGCACACTTCCAGCTCATGGCAACCCATTGCTGCCATGTATTCATTCGGTTTTCTGTTTCCAACTAGAGTGTGAACTCCTTGAACAGGGAACTTGTCATTGCTGTTTACCATCAAGCTGTTACTTGGGGACATGTGAGTGTTGCAGCCACACAGCTAGGTTTTCCTACAGCAGCCCTGGGCCCACTGGCTTGTGGATTTCCCAGGGTGCCCTCCACTCAGGCTACAACAGCAGTTCTCACGTCCAAGAGAAAGTGAAGGATGACGGGGTCACGCAACTGGACACGCCAGGAAGCTGGCAGTTCCCAGTCCCACCAGTGTTAGTTTCTCATCCCAGCTGGCTTTGTGTCTTGTATTCTTTGCTCTTTGTTCTTGGGGCCTTTGGAGAGCCAGGGCCATGGGCACCCAGGGAATGGAAGGAGGCCTCAGAGTGAATGCTATACGCCCCCACCCCACCATTTACACAGCAGTCATCACTTGGTGGGGAGGAACAAGGACATCCTCATGTCTCAAAGCTGGCCCAGGCTTACAGACTAGTTCACTGCAGTAGCTACCACTCAGTAGAGGGCACTCCCTCTGTCCTGGGAGGCAGAGCTGATTATCTCCCTTCATGATGTCTTGACACTTCTGAGGCCCACTTCTCTAACCTGCTCCCTGCTGCTTGGCAGCAGGCCTGGCTCTTCCAGAAGCTCTTGTGGCCCCAGCTGCCTCTTGGAGTCATTTTGGGATCTGAGACCACCCACATCCAGAACACTACCCACCTGGCACATAGCTGGGTGCTGCAGGGCTAGGGATCTGTCTTACTCTCTCACTAGGGCCTCCACTCTGATGTGAAACCCCCCACCTTTTCCTCCTTGGGCCCTACTCCTGGCAGGTTAACTGGTGATGGTCTTCGGTCATCCCTTCTTGTGTATCTTCTTCCTTGCCTCAGACCTGCTCAAGGAGTTATTTCTGAATAAAGTTATTTGCTGGGTGCAGTGGCCCATGCCTGTAATCCTGGCACTTTTCACTGTAGGCCTCAGCCTACATTCTAGGCCACATCGTGGGAGGATCCCTTGATCCCAGGAATTGGAGACCAGCCTGGGCAAGATGGCAAAACCCTGTCTGCACAAAAACTTGGCATGGTGGTCTCAGTTACTCAGGAGGCTGAGGCAGGAGGATCTCTTGAGCTCAGGAAGATGAGGCTGTAGTGAGCCATGATTGAGCCACTGATTGCATTCCACCCTGGGCAACAGAGCAAGGCCCTATCTCCAAAAAGAAGAAAGAAGAAAGAAAGAAAGAAAAAGTTACTGGGTCAGGCGCAGTGGCTCACGCTGGTCATCCCAACATTTTGGGAGGCCGTGGCAAGTGAATCTGTTGAGATCGGGAGTTGGAGACCAGCCTGACCAACGTGGTAGAACGCTGTCTCTGCTAAAAATGCAAAAATTAGCTGGGCATGGTGGTGTGTGCCTGTAATTCCAGCTACTTGGGAGGCAGAGGTTACAGTGAGCTGAGATTGCGCCACTGCACTCCAACCTGGGTGACAGAGTAAGACTGTCTCAATAAAAAGAAAGAAAGTTACTGGCTAAAGGAAGTCATGCTCCGTGTGGCCTGGAGGGGAGGGAATCAACACCACAGTTGTGTGGGATGCCTGCTCCAGCAGCGTGCGAGAGGAAGCCTCAAGGAGTGTTTCCTGAGCCATCAGGAGGGGGTTCCAGGGCTACGGTCCTCTCTGAAGCATTGACACACATTTGGGGGAAGGTCCTTGCCATGGTGTGTTTCCACGATGATCAGTTTATTCCTGGTTTAAAGCAGGTCCCAGAATTCTGCTGGGAAGCGAGGCCTTTGCTTCTGCCTCTGTCCTGAGCCATCACTGGATTGAGCACAGCGCCCCCAGGGTAGGGCAGGGACTTGCCAGCTGGCTGGCAGTATGTGTGGCCAGACCCAGCGTCCATGTGTGGCTGCTGTTCCCTGAGCTACATGACCCCATGTGGTTCCATCTGATTACTGGATCTTAGGTTGAAAGGTCTTAGGGTCTCCTGCGCACAGTGGTTCCCTCCTGCAGCCTGTCCTCAGTGCCCCACACCTGCTGCCTGAACTTCTCTTACCTTGTCCCGCATGCGCTGGAGGTGTCTCCTCCAGTGGTGCAGCCCTGCTTGGTTAAGTGCTGCAGGGACGATCTGAGGAATGAGAAGACCAACTTAGAGCCGTGTCTGCTACAACAGAGCCTAGTCCCCTAGAGGAGGTGTGCCTCTGCACGTGCTGTGTCTTCTGCCTGGAACACCCTCTCAAGCCACAGACTCCTGCTCCCCACCACGCACCTGGCGGGAGCTTTGGCTGTTTTGCGGTTTGGGGGTGCCCTTGACCCAGTGCCATCTGTCAAGCACCCCCAGACTTCAGTGGGCTGGCTGCCTTGGTGGCCTGGGTCTCATATCTTTACCTTGGCTGTGTTCTCCAAGGAGTAAGTGCCTGGCTACATCTGGACCACCTTGCTCTTCAAAGTGAGATTTGAGAGGAGTGTTGCAAGAGTTTTCGGAGGCCCTTGCCCCCATCTTGGCGGCAGAGAGGATCACCATCCTCTTTCGCCCTCGGTTGGTTTCTGTTGAGTTGGCCCCAGCAGCCAGTGAGGCCAGGTGATGCTAGGCCGCGGCCTGGGTAACCAGCAGCCCTCACAGCGTGTCTTTCTCTCACCAGGATGTGTTCGAAATGCGCTTTGCGAAGATGCCAGATGAGCCTGAGGAACCAGTGGTGGCCGTGTCCTCCCCGGCAGTGCCCCCTCCCACCAAGGTTGTGGCCCCGCCCTCGTCCAGCGACAGCAGCAGCGATAGCTCCTCGGACAGTGACAGTTCGACTGATGACTCTGAGGAGGAGCGAGCCCAGCGGCTAGCTGAGCTCCAGGAGCAGGTGAGGACGTTGGTGGCTCCATTCTTAATCCCCAGAGTCCATGGACCAGGGTGGCCTCCCCAGAAGTTTCTAAGAGATATTCTTGGCTCTGAGTTCCCAAGGGAGCAGAATTTTCACTGGACCGCCTGTGGCCTTTTCTCCTCTGCTAGGTCAAGTGCATGTTGATCATGCACGTATGTGTGATATTTGTGTTGAGCTTGCAGTTGGGGATGGGGAGTGACGTGGCCATTTTCTGGGCAGAGAGGAGGTGGCTTGATCCTTTCAATGTCTGGAAGGAGGAGGTTGAGCCAGGATGTTCACCTCTCCTGGGGCTACCTGGTTGTTCCTCTCCCTGTAGCCAGTCATCAGGCCCTTCGTGCCTGACGTGTCTGTATGCTCTTAGTTAGCTTCTTAGGGCCCCTCCTTCTGGGATCAGGATGGCTGTGAGACTTTGTCGGCTTGATCAGCTCCTCTGTTGAGGAGGACACTGGCAATCTTTGGAGTTGAGGGAATGGGTGGAGATAGGCTTGTTAGGAATCTGGTTAACATGACTGGTGCAGAGCTGGGGGCCTTCCCTCCCCCTGCCTCCCCTACACACCCTGATGCCCCAGGTGCGTGTTTTTTGGAGCAGTCGCCTGGGTCTTGGGTGACAGAAAAGTGGTCTTAGCCCTGAGTGTGTGTCTTGTCTGTCTGGTCCACAGCTCAAAGCCGTGCACGAGCAGCTTGCAGCCCTCTCTCAGCCCCAGCAGAACAAACCAAAGAAAAAGGAGAAAGACAAGAAGGAAAAGAAAAAAGAAAAGCACAAAAGGAAAGAGGAAGTGGAAGAGAATAAAAAAAGCAAAGCCAAGGAACCTCCTCCCAAAAAGACAAAGAAAAATAATAGCAGCAACAGCAGTGCGAGGTCTGTGTCCCCTGAGTTTGCCCTGGGTGGGGACCCTCCTTCCAGGGCCTGCTCTGAGACTGTGTGGGCCACTGCCCCTCCGTCCTCGTTGGGTGCGGAGGCTGCCCCTCTGCAGTGTGACTCCACAGGCCAGGCTGGTGGCCATTTGCACACAGGACTTAGCTGCACTGTCTCTGCCCCTTTCTGTAGGATGAGCCTTCGGAGCTCACCATGTTTCGTTGAGGGGGATGGGTGGCAAGGATGGGGCTGTAGCACAACCCCCACTCAGGCAGCCTGCAATCACAGTTGACTTTCAGTCTCTACTGGGTGCTCCCAGAGATTGAGTTGCCAATCCCCCGTTTCCTGTGAAGGCCGGTGGGTGGGGGGTATGGGAAGGGCGCCCCCGGCACCCCTTCACCCTTACATACATGTGGAGGAATGAGTGCCTGGCATCCTCAGGGGGCCCGTTCTTGATGATGTGTGCATCGTCCCTTCATAGCAAGAAGGAGCCAGCGCCCATGAAGAGCAAGCCCCCTCCCACGTATGAGTCGGAGGAAGAGGACAAGTGCAAGCCTATGTCCTATGAGGAGAAGCGGCAGCTCAGCCTGGACATCAACAAGCTCCCCGGCGAGAAGCTGGGCCGCGTGGTGCACATCATCCAGTCACGGGAGCCCTCGCTGAAGAACTCCAACCCCGATGAGATTGAGATCGACTTTGAGACCTTGAAGCCGTCCACACTGCGTGAGCTGGAGCGCTATGTCACCTCCTGTTTGCGGAAGAAAAGGAAACCTCAAGGTGTGCTTGGGTCCTCTGGGCGTGGGGGTCCTTCTGTGGGCCCCCTCAGTAACTTCCCTCCTTGCTCAGTCTACTCTCTGTGCGTTTTTTTTTTCCAATTATAATATTTGTGTTCTTGACACAGAAATCTCTGAAAGGTTGTGACGTCACCCTCGCCCCTAGGCTGTCAGTGTCTTTCTAGATCTCTGACTGGTGGTGTCTGGGGCCCCTCTGCACCTTGTTGCCTGAAGCTGTGTTCTAAACCAGAGCTGCTTTCAACCCAGGCTGCCTGCTGCTGAGTCTTCCTCTGGCCTCTTTGGGGAAGGAGGAAAGGCGGGTCTGCAGGGTCCCAGGACCTGTGTACCGATGGTTAATGTAGCACTGAACCGGCCTTTGTCCCTCTCTAGCGGGGACAGTTAGGTGTGGCATCCTTTCTGGACTCTTCCAAGCAGCTGTTTTGTGTCACACAGCTCATCTTGGCCTACGGCTTTCCTCTGAGGACTTAGGATCCGGTGTCAGGGCATTGCACAGTCTTTGTCCCCAGCCCAGACTGGCTCTTGGGATCCTTGGGCCCCTACCTGGGGCACACCACATGATTATTCCGGCATGTGTCTGAACAGCTGTGTTGAGAGACCCCAGGGGGGTCTTGCCTTACCTCTGGGCAGCATGTTCCTTTTGGATCCTCTTCTTCCCCTGTCAGAACAGTAACTGGGAGAATCCAAGCCTCATGCCCAGCAGTACCTTGTGTTAGGAAATTACCCCTCTGCCTGGTCTCTTGAATCCCTGATAAACCCCTCAAAGGGAACTTTGAGAGACTGAAGGAACCTTGAAATCCCAATGTCCGCAGTCTACCCATGGGAACTGTGGGGCCACGTGAGTTCTGGGAGTGGCAGCTGGCAATTAGGAGCAGCCCCTGGGCCCACCGTGCACAGGCTCCTCACTGGTCCTTCCTCCAGATGGATGGGGTGTGCCTGTGGCTTAGAGCGGCCTCCTGGGCCATGGCCCTGCCTGACCAGCTCCCATTGCTTGGGTTGCAGCTGAGAAAGTTGATGTGATTGCCGGCTCCTCCAAGATGAAGGGCTTCTCATCCTCAGAGTCGGAGAGCTCCAGTGAGTCCAGCTCCTCTGACAGCGAAGACTCCGAAACAGGTCAGGTGACTTGTGTCCTATGTGTCTTACCAAACTCCTCCCACCTGTGCCCGGCACCAGCTCAGTCCTGTGTCCAGGATGCTAGAGCCCACAGACGGCCATCCCAGAACTTGCTGGGTTCCTCTGTCTGCCTGTCTGTGTCGTCTCCCTGGGGCCATGGATAGCCTTGCATTCTGTGCAGCATTGTCCATTCTCTCAGCCTGTCCGTCATGCTGTCCCTGCCAGGGGCTGGTCATGGAGGACAGATGGCCAAGGGCGTTGACACTGCGGAGCCCTGGATGGTGGGTGGCGAGGCTGGGCCATGAGGACTGTGGGCATGGGGGCCCAGGCTGTGCTGTTGACCTTGAGGTGACCGTACCCAGCTTTGTGCCCCAGAGGAGACTTCGTGTCCCTAGGGCCTTCCCCATATCACAGTCACATGCAGTGCGGCCGCTTCAGGGAGACACTTCGCTGGTTTCTGGTGGATATAGAGCAGTCTGCTGCTGGCCCCTGCCATCAGCTGGGCCCCGGCCATTGCCTGCTCCTCCCCAGAGTGTGCTCGTTGCTGTGTTGGCTGCTCTTGAATCTGCCCTAACTCCACACGCACCTGGACTTGGCGTCTCTCTCCTGCAATTCTAACTAACAGTCCCTTCTCTTCAAGCCCTGTGGGCCTGCACGTCGGACCCTGGGTTCTGCATTAGAGCCCACCTTCTGAGCAGCAGCCTCAGTGGGAGGTGGAGGCAGGTAGCAATTCTGGGTGCCAGGTGGGAGTGGAGAGGGTCTGCTCTCCTCCAAGTGTGCACTTTCCTCATTATTCTCAGGGGCACAGATGCTCAGGCTGGCGCAGAGGAGAGGATAGGGAGGGAGCCATGGTGCCCAGGAGGCCTGGTGACCAGCCCCTGCTGAGCGATGGAGCTAACATCCTGTGTTTATGGCCAACGGGGTTGCCACTAGGCTGGTGCAGCTGCGTCAGTGAGCTGGCGTGCTGCAGACCACCTGAGAGCTGGCCCTAGGGTCTCAGGCAGGCTGGGGAATGGGCATCCACAGTGGGAAACCTGTGTTTTGGCAGTAGACTCCTGCATGTTTTCCCACGGACCTGTCGCATCCCTGGGATTTTATTCTAACTAGAAATAAATGCTAACCGTCAATAATCAGTGCATGTGAATAACTTGATCGTGCCAAGGAAGATTGAGGACCCCTCACAGCAGCTGGGGAGAGCCATGTTGCTCTGAGGTGTGTGCGCACAGATGGGGCGGGGGCAGGTGGCACCTCGGGTCTCGTCAGTATTCCTTTTCCCTTGGACAGCCTGGTGCCCTCTGCTTCCCAGGTGAGTGAGGAGACTTGCCTTGAAGTGGGCTGAAAGACCCTCCAGGACTCCAGATGCCCACATTCTCTAGCACAACTGTGCAGAATGCCCTGGGCAGCTCACTGGCCTCGTGGCCTTCCCTGTCGCCATCTTTCACACTTTCATCTCTAACCGGCACTCTCCCCACACTGCTTTTGTAATCCATCAGCCAGCAGGAGGCGCTGCACCCCATGGCTGCCCAGGATAGGGCTGGCTCTGCCACCCGAAGCTAGGGCCTCCACTCGCAGCACAGTGAGTGGGGTGAATGGCTGTATTCTTGGATCCAATTAGCATTCCTGGTGGCCGCTGACTTTTCACTTTCGGTGCCAGCCGAGCCTCCAGCTTGCCTTCCTCTGAGTTTTTGCACCTCCTGTTTTCTAGCTGACTGCTCCTACCGGAGGTTTTGTAGCCTTTGCATCTAAGGATCTCAGTGACCAAGTGGAAACCCCAGATGCTGAAATTGTCAGGGGACCTGATTAACTAAAACGACATGGCATGGTTGTGATGGGGGTGCTACTTTAGCCCTCACAAGACAAGACACCTTAGAGGGCTGTGGACATCATATCCTGATTTCCAGTCTGTGGTCGTGGCCTTTGCCCTTGGCCTCTGCGTCCCTCTTCTGGGCTCCTCTGCTTTGGCAGAGAAGTTGGGAACGCTCCTGGCTTCCTGAGTGAGTGCCCCACACCCCTCCTCCCGCTGCTGAGATTTTATTATTTTTTCACTCCCCCACTTTTAAAAAAAGTGGAAAGATTGTGCAACAAGTAATCTGAGAGTCCTGGGAACAGCTGTCCTGGCGGGAAGGAGGGCGAGATTTACTGTCTCAGAGCCGCTGGCTCCCAGGCTCCCAGGCTGTGGCGGTCCAGCCCTGGCCACTCGCGCAGCTGCCTGGGCTCTGGCCTTCCCCTCTTCCCAGACACCCTCCCCACCTTGGGTTTTGCCTGGCTCCCTTTTGTCTTCGCAGTCCTGGCCAGCAGGGGCTTTCCTTTGCCTTCTGTGTGCACTGAGTGAGCTCTGTCGTGGGCCGGCAGGGTGCTTCTGCTCTCAGGCGGGGTTGCTGCTAGGGTTTTGTACGGCAGATCCCGAAGCGGGAATCCACATCCTGGCACCATTAAATGCAGCCTTCTCCTGCCCTGTCCTGCACAGGACTCTGCATTCTCAGGGCGGGGGGGCAGGGGGGGCGTAGCTCCTTCAGCAGCTGCTCTCCTGGGTCCAGGAAGTCCAGCAGCCCTGATGTCCATGGCCAGTTACAGGCAGGGAGTGGGTCAGGGTGGGGGAATATTATTTCCCTTTGGTATTTTGGGGCCTAATTGATTTGCAGCTCCCCCCAACCCCCCTTGTTCTTGTGTTTCCATTTGGATTGGAGCCGAAATTCCTGAAAGGGCCTATTTTTGTCACTTATACTACGGGGTTAGTTCCACTGACACGGCCCTGAGACATGAATCACCAAAAGAAACCGAACAGAGTCACTAGATTGAGGCTGGGGGGTGTGATACTGAACACTCCTCCTGGCAGCTATCCATAGACCAGGATGCTGTAGACTGATGCAGGCGTGGAGTGGTCCTCTGCGGCCAGGCTCCAGTTCAGGAAGCCACGGAACACAGGCAGGAGGAGGATGGCGGGGGTGGGTGCTGCTTTCCCAGCTGGGTCCCAGGCTACCATGTATTCCCCACCCTCTGCCCCGGCAGCATGCAGTGCAGTGGGCCAGCCCTACCACTTCCTCTGATTCCAGCTAGTGCTTGGGCTGGGGTCTTTCATTGAGCTGTGATTCCAGCTAAAGCCTGGAGCTGCTTGAGGGTTCTGTATTGTGACAGGCAGGGGTAGGGCACAAATGCCCCCCTCCCACCACCCCTAGGGCATCTGCAGACCTGGGGGGATCAGGCTGGAGGAAGACACTGTCCCAGGTAGGCTGTGGACAGTACTGTGGCTTTGCTGTCATTAGCAGCGGGGTTAGGTCTGCCCAGCATATGGGGCAAGGCATGTCCTAGGAATCTTCCAGCTTTCACTTGTCACATTGCTGATATCTGGCTCTTCCCAAGTGTCATGCACAGGTCTTTGTGAGCCGAGGTGTCTCCACAGCTTATATTCCTCTTAGGGATACCCCCTTCACCTCAGCTACCTGGGCTGGGACAGGGTTTCAGGGAGGTGTGAGAGATCCTCCTGGGCTTTGGTCTGGTCTTCTAGTTGGAGCAGGAGCGCAGTCCAGCTATTTTAGTCTCCTGGCTTCCTTTTCCCAGGATTGGAGCGTGTGGGTGTTTCTTAATGGCTCCAGGGGAAAAAGGAATGCTTGATGTTTTGGAAAGATTCGAGCTGGGAAGTGCAGACAGAGGCCATGGGGCGTTCTTACCACACAACCAGCCTCAGCTTCCTGACCCCCAGGGTCTTTGAGGCACTTAGTCGCATCGCCAGGCCTGCTGCTTACCTCCTCCACAGTGTGGCGCTTACCTAGGGGAAGGGTGAGGACCCTGAAGGTGGGGGAATAGGAAGAGACTTGAAGATGGGGCAGTAGCCTTTCCGTCTGCACAGGCAGGTGACTCCCCCTACACACCCAGTATTTGCAGCTGGAGGGATTCTGGGGCTTCATGGGCGGGTGAGGGTGAGCCTTGTGGAATGTGGCCCGGAGTGAGAGGCCGCCAGTGGGCGGGTTTTTCCCATGCCCGCACTCAGGGGCCAGGGAGTAGTAGCACGTCGGTTGCATCCGTGACTCCAGCAGAGGCATCTGCTCTGCTGCGTGGGTGGGAACAAGCCCAGCGCCCCTCCCTGGTCCAGGGAGCCATGTTGGATGCCCCAGAAAAGGAAAGAAAGGACAAGACTTTATTCCTTAATGTGTTTCTTTTTCTTTTTTTCTTCCTCTTCAACAGTGTATATAATAGGTTCTGCTTTTTATAGAGTTTGAACTTTTTGTTTGGGGGATCTGGAGGAATGCAGAAATGAGGCTGTTTGCTCTTTCCCCTCCACTGGGGATCCTGCATTCTGGTACCTCCTTTCTTGGGGACCCAGGCGGAAGGGCTGGCATTGCCTCCCTGAGAATAGACAGTGTGCAGCCCCTGGATGTGAGATGAGCTCAAAGTCAGCAGGGGCCTAGTTGGCTTGCCATACCTGTCTGGTGGGACAGGGCAGGGGCACCACTCAAATTCAAAAGAAGCCGCTTGAGGGCAGTAAAGGAAATGCCGGCGTGCACTCAGGCAGGCAGGGCACTTGTGGAGCTTGGTAGTGGGGGCCAAAGCCACTCTGTAGAAGCTGAACAGGCTGGGGGTGGTTTCCGAGGCACTCATGCATTCTGCCTCTGTGACCTTTCTAAGGGGGTGGTGGGTCTGTCCCTACCTATGGTTAGTCAGGCACGGGGCAGGGCTCCAGTCTCCAGTGCTGTTCTTGTGCCCATCAGCCACCAGGGTGCAGGAGGCTGGCTCGGTCTGCAGTTCTTCTGTTCTTGTGACTTAAATGGTACATTCCACACCATTTCTCTCACACTGGTTTCTCTCTCCCTCTACGTAGGTCCTGCCTAATCATTGGACACGGACTCTTAATAAAACGGTCTTCAGTTCCAGATTCCTTCCCAGCAAGCTATAGCTTAAGTCCATTTTCTTCCGTGAAAGGGACAGGACTCCATCAAGTTATGGAATTCCTCAGAGCCCTGGGCCTGTCCCCGGGGGTGGATTAGTCATGTCCAGCAGCACACGCCTAGTCCCGCCTTCGGGAAGGCTGCCTGCCTGGCCAGCAGCCTGGGCCTCCCTGTGTAAAGACTGCCTGGCTGTCCTGCCCAGCCTCCCTGGTCCTCTGGGGTCCTCTGGGTGGGTGGCATCTCCTGGAGGGTGATGACAATCCCCCACACATGCATTCATGTGGTGCTGCTCTGTGTGCAAAGCCAGACCCCAAGTATGTTTTCTCTCTTTGTCCCATCCCTCTTTTTCTGGGACTTTGGACCCTAACTACTTCCCTCCTGAACCTCGCAGTGACATTAGTCCAGGAGAGCTCTTGTTCAGTGTGTAGAAGAACACTCTGACCTCTAGAGCTGTCCCAGATAAGGAGTGGGAGCTTTAGAGGCAAGGCCTCTAGATCCTGGAGGGCTCAGTGAGGCTCTTCCCACAGCATGTTTCTCACTGATACCCTGTAAGGCTCGAGCCACCGCTGACTCTAAGCCTTTTGGAGTCTTTCCTCCTCCGTCTCCATTGTTCCCGTGCATTTCCAAAAGCTTAAGTTGCCTGGCGGGCATTTCCCCAGTTTCTTTGGCCTCCCTCTTCTCAAGTCACATAGGGAAAGTACCTCCTGGAACCAGGCTGCAGTGTGCAGGACCTGCCGGGCAGGCACTGGTGAAGGGCCTTGGGCCCATCATCCCCCAACCCCACCTCACCCCACCCACCTCCTCTAGGGGGGCGGATCTGGGCTGGTGGACTGGAGAGGGTGTCACAGACCCTCAGGGACTGCCCCATGGACACCTTTGATTGGTGTTAACAGTGTGAACATTTTTCCCGTCTTCAGTCCCTTAGAATAACGACAGCCCCTGGGGTTGGGGCAGGCGAGGGTGGCCACATCATCCAAGCCCTCCCAGAGGCACTAATAGGCTTTTTTGCTCTAAAAATAAATCCCGGCCCTTTTTTGGTCACAAATCCAGCATCTCAGCAGAAAACTGCCTGACATGAAAAGTCCCCTAAGGAACTGCATCTGCGTTTCAGGGGCTTTTCATTTTTTTCTCCTTTTTTAAAGTGTAGATTGTGGGTGCTTCCTAAAGGCCTACCTTCTTCTGAAACTGGAAGTGGGCTGTCGCCATGGGCAAGCCCTCGGGTGCCGGCTCCCCGCCGGTGTGGGAGCCCTGGCAGCTCTCCTCAGCTCCCTGGGCTTGAGCAGCTGCAACTGCCCCAGATTTGCTGTGGAAGCAGGGGCTGGCCCTGGCCTCACCAGAGCCTCCCGGGGCCTGCATTGATGCTCAGGAGTTCCTGGGCTGCTCTTGATCCTCTCTGGGCGTCCAGCTTCCAGTCAAGCTCCGTTTGCCAAACAAACTATTCTGAGCTGCCCTTTGGCCTGCGCCTGTTGTGTTCCTGTTGCAGCCCCGCCTGGCTGAGACGGGGGCAGGCGGGAGAGCCTTCATGCCCAGATTCCCACAGGACAGTTGGGGAGCTGCTGGCATTGTCTTTCTGGGAAGATTCTGCTTTCTTGGACCAAATGGCAGCCTGGATTCCCAGTGTCAGGCCTGCATGCTGCCCCTGCCCCCCACACACACACGCGCGCGCGCGCACACACACACACACTGCGCGCACACGGGCCATAGCCAGAGGCCAGCTCTCCTCCAGGGTCCTTTCAACTTCACTGTCCAGGGACCCTCTCCTTCTTGCCCATGGGGCTTCCATCTGGCAGAGAACGCTCAGGGCTTGTTGAACTTGAAAGCACATTAGACTTAAGCTGTCACCTGTGCTTGGTGCCCCAGGAACAGCCAGAGAGGACAGTGCCCACTCACTTCTCCTTGTTGGCAGCCTCCTGTGCAGGAAGTGCCAGCCGGGCCTCAACGCACCAGCTGGCTGTGGGTCCTGAGGAGGAGCGGGAGGCGGCCGCTCAGTGCAGGCGGGGACTCCTCTCCTCTGCCCTGACCTTACCCTCCATCCTGCCTCCTTCATTGGAGTGGGGCTGGGGGGTGGGCGGAATCAGTGTTTTAATCGGATTTTTAAAAAACATTTTATTTCTTTGTACAATTACCATCCTATGTAAAGATGAAATTTGTGTTGAGTTGAAGATTGTCATGGAATAAAGATCACACCGTACTTGAGGCCATCTTCATGTAACCCTTTCTAGAGAGTTTTGTGTGGGGGTGTCTTGGGGCTGGTGTGTTGTGAAGCTGTGCACTTCCTGTCTTGTCTTTTACTGGTAACTCCGACACAAGGCTCAGACCATGTGGGCCAGATGGGGCTACCTCTACCACCAGCCCCTTTAGTCATCTGGTCCTGGGGGTCTGCCGTGCACCTCTCCCCCACTCGTTAGTCCTGCCTTGCCTGGGGGCCCCAGCACTTGCAAGGGGCCCTGGAGACAAGTCCCTAGGATATTACCTGTGGCCTTTCCGAGGCAGCTGAGACATGCCCCCTGGAATCCCCACAGGCCCTGCTACATCTCCTCCTGTGGGCCTTTGCTTACAGCCTGCAGGCTGTGAGGGGTTAGAGTGGCCATTCCTCTTTTACAACTGAAAAAACAAGGTTTCTTCCAAGGCCAGAAGACAACAGGCGAGCCCCAGCATGTCCTTCCCTTGCACTCACACTTTCTCCCTCAACTCTGCATCTGGACACATCCCCGAGGCTTCTCCTAGTCAGATTTCACACGGTGGCCCTGCTGCTTCCCGCTACCTTCCGCCTCCTGCCCCAGGTCCCCTCCAAGGTATGCCCAGCATGCCCCCAGACACCATGGCTCCTTCACCTCCTCACACTGGGATTAGTGCTGGGAGAGAAGCCGTGGCCTTTTCTTCCTGCTTCCCTAGTGTGCAGGGTCTCACTGGTCCTGTGGCCGCCAACCTCTGCAGCCAGTGTTCCTCCCCGCTGAGCAGTTAGACTCCCTGTTGCCCTGACTCTGCAAATCTACCCGAGCTTTCCCTTCTGGCATGTCTCACCCACAACAGTCTCTCTCTCACCAGATGTCATACTCTGACCCAGAGCGTCCTGAGCCCTGTATGCAGGTTTGAGGTGGGGCCCCAGGTTCCCCCGTGTCCCCAGTTGCAGCCCCTGGTCATTTGTACAAGGACGTGTGTCTGTAGCTGCTGAGGTGTGTGTCTGTGTCTTGTTTCGTGTGGAGTGGTGAGCTCTTACAGGGCACAAGGTCTTTCCCCATCCCTTTTGGTGTCTTGCTGCACTGAGGGCCACGAGCCTCACAGAAGCTTAGCGTGGCCCTCCACGAAGCAGATCCAAGTGGAAGGAGCCTCGATTTGGGCAAAGCATATCTCAGACAACACACCTGGAACGGGCTCATTCCATCCACCGGCCCTGCGACACATCCCAGCGCCCGATGGCTGCTGACCAAGAAACACTATACAAGAACAAAGCAGCGCGCACCCGACCAGACGACACGCACGACAGACGCCCGCGGAGCCAGAGCAAAAGCCATCACAGTAAGTACACACAGCAAGATAGTCTCTCGACCTACGGTAGGCTCGAACAAAGGAGACAGTAAACTATTAGAGGCGACAAAGGAGAACAACTAAACGCATGGGCAAGAACGTAGACGGGGCGCGCACGATAATAGAAACAAACTCTACCGCGAGACACCTCTCCTGGGGCCGTTCCGAGGTCGCGAGGCAGAGGGCTGACACGGAGCCCTCTCTACACCGCGGATGGCATGGATGATGTATCCTTCTCCTTCCATGATCATCTTGCGCACCACTCGGTACATGGCTGTGCCTGCGCAACAGCGCGACGCCCGGAGGAGCGACCTGTGCCACGCTCACGATTCTCCTGGAGTTGTGTCTAACTGCCCCACAAGTCCTCACTGGCGTGAGTGTGAACGCCACTCGTACCCCTGTAGCCATCTCTTCGCGCCGCCCCGGATCATGCTTCCATCAACGTGTCCTCTAGTGGCCTCGCCTGGTCGGCAACTATGGCTCCAGCGATGCCCTGACCGCCCTCTCTACCCTTCTGCGTTCTCTATCCCCGCTGGTACGTATAGTGAGACTCGTGACTGAGAGGGGTGGAAGAAACATAGTAGGAGAATCACCCCAAGAGGGACCATTCATGAACTGTGACACATGTCTGTGTGGAGATGAGATAGATCCAACCTGTCGAAGCTGCTTTATTAGCCAATGTGACCCTAGACAAGTCCTCACTCCCTTACTACAAGAGCCAAAAACACCTCCATATTTTTCTCAAACTGCGTCAGAAAGATGAATGTGACCATTGCGCCGCGACAGACACATACACAAGTTAGTTGAAAGAAACATGACGCCAGAGTTGACCCAGTCCTCAAGAACGCGACAATAAAGGCACACATACAGATACCTATAAAGTATAAAGACGTGAAAACTGACCCTTACATATAATAAACAGACAATGAAGGACCATATAAGACCAAAGCTCAAAAAAACAAACTTACAGAAAAAAAAACAAAAACAAAAATTCCGTGTGGAGAATAATGAAGTGAAAATCTGAAAGGCACATTAGGCAGGGGAGAAGCTTTTCAAGAGACAGTCCCTGCTAGGAAAAAACAAGACAGAAACAGAGATAAGAGTAATAAGCCATCGCAATGCGCTCTCATCACACAAAACAAAACAACAAAACCGTTGATGACCACACTACATACACACGCTTCGAACACCAGAGAACTGCCATACTCTCAGGGTCATGGTCCTCACCTGAACTGCCTGTTTTTTCCATCTATTAACTCATCCAAGGCCAGCTCACTCACCACAAAACATCACCCACCACAGAGACCTAACACAATAAAAAACAACTTCTCTTTTCCATCCTGCAGGATGCTCCGAGATCCAAAAAAGAAGGGCCCAAACACAGAGGGGAGACAGGTAAATGGCTCAGGGGGCATCTCCATTATGTGGGAAACCTGGGTCTGGCCCTAAAAAAGAGAGAAAAACGAAGAAAAATAAACTGAGCCCATATAAGAACACTGACATCAGCCTTGTCTGTTGATCCCTTCTGTACCTGCAGCACCATCATACACAACCATCAGCAGATGCAGCAGGCCGGCTTCTCTGTGCAGCACCGCTCCCCGCACACTTCCACCAGCCTCACACAACTCCGCAGCAGCACAGCACCAGCAGCCCCACTCACCCCACCATCCATACTCAGCAGGCAGAACCAGCGATGAAGTCCTCGCCCCCGACCTTCATTGCCACCCAGGTGCGCCGTCCTGGACCCAACCAGCTCCCAGGCAGACGTCTTGGACCCCATCGGCCCACTTCACCCAGCCCATCCTCGACACCTGCCGCAGCAGAGCTGCCCCATCACCTGCCCCAGCGCTGAGCACAGCCTCCACCTCATCTCAACACCAAGCACCGCGGCTGGTCGTCTCTACCAGGATGAGCGTGGCCACCCCAGTGTGGGACTGAGACCTCCTAGCCCTCGTTACACAAAAACAATATGAATAGTAAAAGCAAATAAACATAGAGAAAAACACTAAGAGAGAAACAGAAAAAAAACAGCTTAGCACTCAGCGGCCTCTGAGAGGAGAGGCGAACGATCCCGCGTTTCCTCAGGGCCCATTCTTGAGAAGTTAAAGGAGATGGAACAATTCAAGCAGGTCCTTGCAAGTTGATCAGAAGATTAATATTTGTTTTTCTGTTTTTATTTTTAAACAACCTGAGATCAATTTGGAGTAACAAAAAAAACATCTAGATTTTGTTTGCTTTGCAATTAGTTTTTTTGATTATATTTTACTTTTGTTTAAATTTTTTTTTTGTTTTGAGACAGAGTCTTACTCTGTCGCCCGGCAACAACAGGCGAAGAGTACATGAAGCATAGATCTCAGACCCTCACCTAGCAAGCTCCGGTATTACGCTCCATTTCTCTAACTGCCTCAGACGTACCAAATAACCTAGGAATTACGGACGCCGCACATCATATCAGCAACCGAAACCTAGATTTTTGTATATTAATTAGAGAGACGAAGAGAAGAGAGATATAAATCCACCGTGGTTCGCACAGGATGCGTCCTCGATCTCCCATGACCTCGTAATACCGCAAAAAACACGTTCTTGCCTCTCCAAAGCTGCTGGGATTACAGGCTTGAGCCACACAAAAAAAAAAGCGCCCGGCCCACAATCTAGATTTTGACTTTATTTTCTGCTGGGTCAGGCCGTCATGTTTAGATGAGAAGAGCTGCGACCCTCTCTAGCTTTTCTCCTCATCACGGGGTTGGGAGGTGCAACTCATGAATGCGATCCCTCCCCGTGACCTGGACACACTCACCTGGGGGGATATGGGGGACAGGGCCACCTTCCTGGGGGCCTCCCGGCAATCGGCCAGGGCAAGTGAGGGACCAAGCTCTGCACTGAGGTCTGAAGGGGCCATTGTGAGCATGGGGGAGCAGGAACTGGGGACCACAGAGCTATAGGGCAAAGCGGGACGACACTACCCTAACGCCTCCTGGAAGTCTGGGGCTGCTACTCTGGGAGTTTGCTGGGGAGACCAATGGTAGGTGGGAGGGAGTGCGTTTGAGGCGAAGCCCGCGTAGGAGGCCACACCTGGAGTCCCAGATGAGGTCAGGATGCGAGCAAGAAAGGCCAGGCTGGGCCACAGGTGCTCAGGCCTCACCGCCTCGTATTGGTGTCGTTCCCAGGCTGCACCAATGCAACTGCCCAGCAGCCATCACGACCCCAGTCAACCGAGCCGCTGCCCTGCCTCCCAAGCGCACCGGCGTCAGCCCAACCCGGCGCCAAGCCGCTTGTCACCAGCCGTTGACCCAACCACCCCGCCTCCCACAGCCATGGCCCAACCGCACCCCAAGTAATTGCGTGGAGGATGAAGACCACCTGCCCCCACCCCTCACCTCCATGCAGATGCAGCTTGTCCTGCAGCACGTGCAGAAGGTGCAGACCTTACGCCGCTATCCCTTCCGTGAAGGTGCAGTCCCAGCCCGCCCTGCCGCCCCACCCCACCCTCTGTGCAGCAGCACTGAAAGCAGCAGCCGCCACCACTCAGCCACGCCCCAGCCGCCCCAGCAGCAGCATCAGCCCCCTCCACGGCCCGTGCACATTGCAGACCCATGCAATTCTCCACCACAACATACAACACCCCCACCACCCACGGGCCAGCAGCCACACCCACCAGCCCGGCCAGCAGCCACCCCAACGAGG